TCTCTGTTTTTTTTAAAGATATTTTTACTTAATCAAAATAACCCAACTGTAGTTTGAGATTAATTGGAATGCACATGATTTCTGAAAATGGTTAAAAACGGAGTTATCTGTTTTTGCAAATTAACTCTTCATATGTATATATATATATATATATATATATATATATATATATATATATATATATATATATATATATATATATATATATATATATATATATATATATATATATATATATATATATATATATATATATATATATATATATATATATATATATATATATATATATATATATATATATATATATATATATATATATATATATATATATATATATATATATATATATATATATATATATATATATATATATATATATATATATATATATATATATATATATATATATATATATATATATATATATATATATATATATATATATATATATATATATATATATATATATATATATATATATATATATATATATATATATATATATATATATATATATATATATATATATATATATATATATATATATATATATATATATATATATATATATATATATATATATATATATATATATATATATATATATATATATATATATATATATATATATATATATATATATATATATATATATATATATATATATATATATATATATATATATATATATATATATATATATATATATATATATATATATATATATATATATATATATATATATATATATATATATATATATATATATATATATATATATATATATATATATATATATATATATATATATATATATATATATATATATATATATATATATATATATATATATATATATATATATATATATATATATATATATATATATATATATATATATATATATATATATATATATATATATATATATATATATATATATATATATATATATATATATATATATATATATATATATATATATATATATATATATATATATATATATATATATATATATATATATATATATATATATATATATAAGGGATAATGTACATCCAGCCGGTTGTTATCTCAGAATAAACCCCTTCAGGCTGATACAAGACCCCTCCGCTCAGGGTCCTGATCACCCTGTCCGGGTTTATTCTGAGATAACAACCGGCTGGATGTACATTATCCCTTATATATATATATATATATATATATTATAATAATATGACAATTTCTTCTTACATTTCAGTTTGTACACGTGCAAATAAAGACAGTGCCAAGACAACTGCATCTGAAAACCCAGCAGATTCAAACATCCCCAGTGTTTCTGGTGCGAAGGGGAAATCGAAGCGCATCCGCACCGCGTTCACACTGGATCAGCTGCGCATCCTGGAGCGAAGCTTCCAGAACAGCCACTATCTCTCGGTGTTTGAGCGCCACTGCATCGCCACGGCCCTCCGTCTCTCCGAAACACAGGTCAAGATCTGGTTTCAGAACCGACGCACCAAATGGAAGAAGGAACAAGACGGTCATGGAGGAGAGGAGCAGAACCATTGCGCAAATCCAGCGTTCACGCAAAACTCATTTATTTATGCGCTGCCTGGACATCACGCAAATCCTGTGCATTATTACACACCACAAACACCGTACCTGAACACACCTTACCATCACCACACCCTCATGATGTTCTGATCTTTGACAGCATGATGAACCGTTATGAACATTTTATTGTCTACTTCTTTTGGGATGAGACCAATAGACTGATCTGAAGAATCAAGAACTTTTTAAATCTGTAAATTAGAACCCTTGAAAGTTCTTGATTTGAAGTTCTTGAAGAATTTCCATTGAAGAAAGTTTAAGGGATGAATGAACACTAGCAATATATTTAATGTAATATTTAACTTTTTTTATAATAATGTCATATTTGTTTTGGGTCATAATATTTATAATGTCTTTAACATTTGTATTTTATACCACCTTTTAAATGTAAGAGGCACAATAAAGTTTATATTTTTAAATTTTTGACTGCTATTATCTTATTTTGCCATTTTGGAAACATAAATGTATATGTTCTCATGAGAGCACCTTAAGATTTGGTTTGGTGCTCACAATGCGCATAGTGTGACCCATTATATATTGTAACTATAAGAAATAAAATAATTAATAAAAGTAATAATAAAAATTAAAAAAGTGTCTGTGCCGGTAGGCTTGTGGGGAGTGCGCAACGTTATGCTACAGGTGTCCCGAGTTCGAATCCCAGCATGAGGACCTTTCCTGATCCCGCCCCCTTCTCTCTCTCCTACTTCACTTCCTGTCACTTTTACTCTGTCCTATCCAGCTTTCTCTTTCCATAAGAGCAGGCGCGGCCATTTGTAAATTCTATGGGTCTAGCGTCCATCCGTGTCCAGCTATTTTTAGCTGTACAAAACAGCTCGTTTTGCTGCTTGATTTTGAAAATTGGTGTGTCTTACCATATCATTTTAATGTATTATCTTATGAGCACACTGGTTTGTAGTGCAAACAGTTTTACCGTTTACTGCACGTTGTTATTCTTCTCATTATTTCCATATAGCGGCTAATGAACCGGAAGTCTTCACCATATGCTTGCTTCCGCGTTGCAGAAAAAGGTGGATAATAATAAAGTCAAACAACACCAAAAATAAATCTTTAAAAAAATTTATAAAAGTATACATTGTTTTATTTTAGTCGCGCATGCGCACCTGCCCACACTCTAAAAATTTATTTTTAGTAGTTGTAAATAAAACAAAGAATACAAGAGTACATTTTTAGTTTAAAATACAATATCAGTCTTTGTACTTCAACGTAGAAAAGAACGTAACTCACAAATGAGTGAATTAAAAGCAGACTGGTTTTCATATGGAGGGCAGAAAGGCCCAAACATCCCAAACAAGACAGACAGGAAATCAATTGATAAGCGCAGAAGTGACTCACGGCTACAGTCTCCTGGCTCATGATGGAAGAAGATGATGAACATGAGCAAACGTTTGAGATTACTCCAAATGAGTCAAACAGGAACACATCTGTCTGTAATTCTGCACATGGATTCGATTAACATCAGATGTCCGCTGGCACGTCAATAAATAGTTGCTTTTTCATGGTTTTGAGAGAACCGTATAGACTATTCTTTTATTTCCACATTCTGAATAAGTTTGCTTCATGCCAGTCTAAGCAGGAATGGAGTCATGAATGTGTTGGTGTCAATAAAAAAAAAATTAGCTCTTCAAGGCAAACATGCTTGACAACCTCTGAAGATTAAAGGGGTCATATGATGCTGCTAAAAAGAACATTATTTTGTGTATTTGGTGTAATGAAATGTGTTTATGCGGTTTAAGGTTCAAAAAACACATTATTTTCCACATACTGTACATTATTGTTTCTCCTCTATGCCCCGCCTTTCTGAAACACGTCTATTTTTACAAAGCTCATCGGTCTGAAAAGCAAGGTGTGCTGTGATTGGCCAGCTATCCAGTGCGTTGTGATTGGCTGAATACCTCAAGCGTGAGACGGAAATGTTACGCCCCTCACCATACTGTGATGCCGTGTCCTGGTGCGAAGAGACAAAAACATTAAAACTCATTATAAACGAGGCATTCATTGCATCTAGTGGGAACATAATTATGGATTATAATGACTTATACTGTATTTTTACGTGTTACGTTGCATTGCGCCGCGTAAACATAAAACCATGTCTGCATTGAAGAAATGACAAACAACAAGCCCTACTCCACACTGCCCAAAAAACTCGCTTTAAATATAAAAAATATAAAATTTTGGGCGCCGTTATGCAAATCTTCCCACATAGTGACGTAGACATGTGGGGGCGTGTTAGAATGAGCCGTTTTAGGTGACTCTTAACTTTTATAAAGAATATCTCTTTGGATTTGAGACTTTAGTCTTTGCAACTTTACAGATCTTCTTTATGCACCAAGAGCTTGTAACACTTCAAAGAGAAAGGAACAATTGAAATCGCATCATATGACCCCTTTAAGAGAAAAAATATGAAGAAAGAACAACTGATAGAGTGTGTTTTTCTAAAACCAGGCCAGATCTGTGCTATTTCTGCAATACTCTCTTCAAAGAAAATAGGCGTTATTTGACTCTGTGGCTTTAGTCCACCAGTGTCGTCTCATTTGCTCAATGAAAAAAAGCTTATAATAAAAGCATTAAAAAAGTCTTGAATAAGTCTGAATAAAACCAGATGTGCTTTACTTAAATATGAACTTCTTTTGATGGCTTTCTAATAGGGGAAAACACACACTGACAGGGTCCGTTTTCCAGTTAGGTCTATATACAGTATATATGCCAATTTTTAACAAACACATTATCCTAAACATTTAATTATTGTAATGGAAAAAAATTAATAAAATAAAAATGTGGCAAACAAGCAAACAAATATATATACAATGTATTATATACAAATTAGTATTAAATATATATATATATATTAATATTAAACATAAATTAGTATTTCTTTCCAGCAAGGAAGCATTCAATCGTTTAAAGGTGACAGTAAAGACATACTGTACATATTGTTACAAAAGATCCTATTTCAAATAAACGCTGTTCTTTTGAACGTTTTATTCATCAAAGAATTCTGAAAAATAAAATGTATCACTTTTTCCACAAAAATATGAAGCAACACAACTGTTTTCTACATTGATAATAATAATCAGAACTGTTTCTTGAGCAGCAGATCAGCATATTATACTGATTTCTGAAGATCATGTGACACAGAAGACTGGAGGAATGATGCTGAAAATTCAGCTTTGAATAAAATAGCCTATATTACAATAGAAAACATCTATTTTAAATTGTAACAATATTTCACCATATTACTGTTTTTAGTGTAATTTGGATCAAATAAATGCAGCCTTGGTGAGCAGAAAATCTTTGGAATGGTTGAAACTGTACTTACGACTCTCTCTCTCTCTCTCTCTCTCAGTCTCCTCCTCTTTTTTTCTGTGGGTTTTGTCCTCCTCCTCACTCACTCAGAGGGGGATGTCAGTGGAATTCCATTCCACTAGAAGAGAGAAAAACAGCCACAAGCCCCATTACATCTGACTTCCACTGATTCCATCTCCAGAAAACTCCAAACATTTGGATGAACTAGTTTTAATAGACAATCTGACGAGTCCCAGCTGACCAGCTTGCTGCACACTTACCACTGGAAAAGACACCATCTCCTAACTGTAGTAGAATTTGGTGTAGAAGATTGCAGAGGACCATGCAGGCACCGAGGGTTCCTCTGTGTGCAACTTTATTTGCCCTGTGCTGGATTTTGACATTGGTTATCAATGACGAGTTGGTTAATGCTGCCAAGCCCAACCAGAGAACAAGGAGCATCCAAAACAGTGAGATTAATTCAAAAAGAGAAGATCTACAGGATGGATTTTCAGAAGACACTCAGATGGATGAGCCTGGAGCAGAAGAGATGGTTGAAAAACAAAAACCAAAGGGTAAAAAGACACCTGAGGAGCTATTAGCTGGTAAGTTGCTTCATAAAATGCTGAACGTTCAGTAGAATAAGACATTTAGACTGTATGTAATGAGGTTTTCGGTGGTTGCAGCCCAGTTTCATGTAGGAGAAGATGGCTGTGCTTTGTCATGATGACAGATAGCTGGCTCCTTTGAGGTTATGCAACTTTTTTAGCGAAACCATGACTGGTCAGTCCACTGACACACTTTCTGCTGCTGTTTTTTTTTTCTTTTTGTCTTTCGTCTGGAAAAAACCGTGATGAAGGAGGCATGTGGGAATGAAATTACAGTTTTGGGCTAGGAAAGGGTTGAATGAGAATCACAGATGGTTTTTGAAAACATTACGGGTCTTGAATACGAAAACAAAACTTCTACATGCTTCTCTCCGTTTTGCTCATGTCAGAGTCATGTGAGGTTTGGGAAACAGGAAGAGAGACGGAGCCAACATTTGGTTTGAATTGAAACACCCACTTAAATCTGATCTGTTTGAGACGGCCATGTGTGTGTGACAGCTCTCCTTCAGTCGCATGGCTTGAAACTCATCAACAGAAGGAAGTTACACAGCATCCTGAGGGAGATTTCATTGCTCTTTTGTAGCTCGGAAGATCTCAATTATCTTGCATTGAAGTATCAACTTTGTCTCAGATGTTTCTCCTGAAATTTCTGAGCCAACTTGTCGTACAGTACAAGTATAAAGCTGTAAAACGAATGTGGAGCAGCTCAACATATCTTATTTGAGACACTGACACATTACTGCCTGTTTTTCTCAGAAGCAAAAGTATAAAGTTTCCTTTTTCAGTATTTATTTACATGTAGTCTAGAAAAAAATGAAAGATCTTTCAGTAACTCTGTGCTGACAGTAAGCCTTTAAACATAAGCTTGTGTAGTAATTCATCCACGCTCTGGATTTAATCAGATAGTATTTCAAGCGTTCAGAGTGGTTTCAGCAGTTTATGACAGCTGTAAAACTTTATAAAAGCTTTGATTTGTTAAATGTGAACAACTATGAGTTTGACATAAAGCCGTCGTCTAAATAGGCAATTCCAACATGTTAGTGTGACTTCTTTATGTGAAGATAAAACAGCGCCTATACAAAAGAAAAGCACAAATTAGACTTCTTTTACAGTGACATGCGAAAGTTTGGGAACCCCTTGCAGAATCTGTGAAATTGTGAATCATTTTAACAAAATAAGAGAGATCATACAAAATGCATGCTATTTTTTATTTAGTAAAAGTATATTTCAGCAAAATAAAAAAATTGGGACATGTTTTCCTGTTTTTCTTCAATTTACCTTGATCTTCAAATTCAAAAAGTTTGCGGCTCTTAATGCATCGTGTTTCCTTCTGGAGCATCAGTGGATGTTTGAACCTTTTTTAATAGTTGTGTTTGAGTCCCTCAGTTGTCCTCAGAGTGAAAAGATGGATCTCAAAATCATACAGTCACTGCTGGAAAGGGTTCAAATATGCAAAAGATGCTGGAAAACTGAAGAATCTGCAGGAGCTGGAGGATTTTTCTGAAGAACAGTGCTCAGTTTAACAACAGTTTAACTGTTCAGAACAAACAAGGGACTCATGAACAAGCATCACAAAACACACAAACAGTCGAGGATCATCCAGGTAACCACACACAGTGTTAAGAACCAAGGGTTCCCAAACTTTTGAATGGGGTTATTTTAATAATTTCAGCTATTATTTTGTCTTGTGGACTAAATGTAAACATCTTTTATGTAAACTATCTTACTCAGGACAGTACTAAATAAAAAATAACAGGCATTTTGTATGATCTCTCTTATTTTGTTAAAAGTATTCACATTTTCACAGATTCTGCAAGGGGTTCCCAAACTTTCGCATGCCACTGTATATCTCGGTTGTATTTGTTTACCTTTATCCCACGGACTTTTGGGAGAGAGATCTGAGTAACATTTTCCTTTTTATGGAAAAGTATCATATCTTTTAACATGCATTCACAAATAAAGACAAATATAGCTGAAACATTGACCTTGTTTGTTTTTCAGCAGGACTTTTCCTTAGAGCCTTCATCTACTGCTGTAATTCATTCGTTTAATGTTAACGTTCTTCCGTAATTTTTGGACAGTTTTCTGTGAACTAAGGGTATAGAAAAACAACCCAAACTTGCATGACAGTAGTTATCATTCCCTCATTTATTGTCTAGCCAAGGCAAAGAAGGCGGCTGAGAAGGAAGCCAAAGCCAAGAAACCGAAGCCCACAAAAAAAACCAAACCCCCAAAACCAACAAAGAAACCCAAGGCCACCAAGAAACCCAAGCCTCCAAAACCCACCAAAAAGCCGAAAGCACCAAAACCCACCACAACACCAACGACTAGAGCAACTAAACCAACCAGAAAGTCAACCATGGAGGAAGAGGAGGAGAAACTGCTGCTGGAGCTGGGATGGGACACGTGTATGTTTACACAATCTTCAACACATTATTATTTTAAAGTAAATGCTATTGTGGTCTTTAAAAGTCTTTAAATACAGTGTCTGTGCTCAGTATTTCCAACAGAGCCAAAGGAAACGGAGATTGAGAAACCCATTGGCCCAGATCATGGTATGACAACAAATACAACACAACACACTTACAATTAAAACTTTGAGCTCATTTTAGATCTTGAAATCTTCTGAACTTTTTGCAAACACAGACTGAGAGTTAGACCCCTAATTATAAGTCATTGGTTGACCGACTTCCTGAGGAGTGTGAACACTGGCAAAAAAAAAATCCCACACACTTACATTAAAGAAGGGACCTGAGACCAGATCTTGAGCGTGAAGAAGAAGCCATCACCTAGAAATCCTTAGCATAATGATAGTGCAGAAATGACACACTTTACCTTTAATTAGATTGTAAAAACTAAATTGTAAAAACTGAATTAGCAGACTTGGGTTGTTGTGTACAGAACACATTAAGGCTGGAATACGTTACATGACTTTTAAAACAGATTTTAAAACACTAGGTATACACTTACATGTTTACAGAGGAAAAACAAACCATTAAAAAAAATTATATGTTGTAAAATCGCCCCAAAATATAAAACACGTTTGATCTCCTCCGATTGGATGGAATGATAGCCTGAAGCTTAAAAATCAGAGTCCGTGCCCATCATCCACTACGTGATTTTCTGTAGGTATCAATATGCAAACTGGCTATTGACTTTCGTGAACTACAAGCATCAACTAATCGGGACAAAAATCTGTACATACAAATATCGTATTCCAGCCTTTTAGCTGCCGTTTTCTTATCAAAACATTGCTATTCACACGGTCTCTTTGGTTTCTTTCTTTGGTTTTTAACGTACAGTAGACGTCCACAGCAAGAAAGATGCCGTTACACCACCTACAATCAAAGAGCACGATCCAGATTACTGGGACGCACAACGTACGTTTGTAGCGGCATACACACACTCCTAAAAAGGTTCTTTATTGGCATCTCTGGCTTCATGAGGAACATTTTTTTTTAAATCCATTGAACTTTTCTAATGCACTAGACCAAGGTTCCTCAAATCTTGCCCTGGAGGGTCAATGCGCTGCAGAGTTTAGCTCCAATCCTGATCAAACTGGACTACCTGTGATTTTCTAATGAGCCTGAAGACATTGGTTAGCATGCTCAGGTGTGTTTGATTAGGGTTAGAGCTAAACTCTGCAGGAAAGTGGATCTCGTGGGCCAGATTTGAGGATCCCTGCACTAGACCTTATCAAAGTCCCTTTAAGACAGGGGTGTCCAACCCTGCTCCTGGAGAGCTACCTTCCTGCAGACTTTAGTTCCAACCCTGCTCCAGCACACCTGTCTGTAATTATCAAGCAACCCTGAACACCTTGATTAGCTGGTTCAGGTGTGTTTGATTGGAGTTAGAGCTGAAATCTGCAGGATGGTAGCTCTCCAGGAGCAGGGTTGGACACCCCTGCTTTAAGACAAGTCATGTCACTCGGTGGCCATCTTTGAAACGCCTCTCGGGCATGCAAGTGCAAGTCCTATCTCTTTGAATGGGGAAACATCAAATTCTCCAAAACTGTTCACTAAGCTTACGATTAAATTTCATATTTGAAATCACCAAAGAAATCTGACAACAACTGTGCCATAAATGTTGTTTCTTTTGCTCAAATAGTGTTATAAAAAGCTTATTTTTCAGGCTAGATCAGCCAGTGCGCATGCGCAGTCCTAAGCGCACGTCGTTTACGCAGTCATTTACGGATTTCTCAGCAGCGGAAGTCGTCATAGTTGGTTAAACTTCGAGGCCAGTGAATAGGAGAGTACCGCAAATATATTTTTGGCATTCCCATTTGCTCAAATAGCAAAAGAAAAACTCCACGATAGTGTTTTTATGACTTTCAATCAAAGGAAACAAATTGAGAGAGCAGTCAGAAGAGACAACGATGTCAAATTTATTTTACATTTCTGCTAAATTACTAAATAAAAAAATAAATAAAAATACAAATTTACCACCGTCCCTCCCATAGATGCTGCACTAGAAACACTGTTAGCGTTAACTATTTTTTTATTTAATTTTTTTGTAATTTGATGCAAAGGTGATATAATACAAAGTATAGCGTTATAAATGTACATACATGTTTAAAAAAAATCTCAATTTAAAAAACTTTCGAGGATTTACGATGCTAATGACCATCGAAATTCAAAATATCAATTTAGTCAGTCTGGAGCCCTGGAAGACTACAGTCAATTACACTTTTATTTAATTGCCTTATCTTGGCATTGTAAGCATATGATTTAAAAACATTTTAATATAAAATTATTCGTGGAACATTTTATACATCCGTGGGAACCACTGCTTTAGGTTAATGTTCTTCACAGTAAGGAAAAAAGTTATTTTATAAGATTTTGACTGAAAGGTTCTTTTGGTATCACTGTGAAAACACCCTTTTGGATCATTTGTTTTTAAGAATGTAGAATCAGATTCTCAAAATACCACTAATAATAAACTTTTACCACCTGACAGATGAAGTTCCAGAACCCGACCTCATCCCTAAAGTCAAGGAGCCGGCTAGCACTGATGACCCAAGTATATACTTACCAATCCCAGGTAATTAAGAGCCAATTTACACCAGAAAAGTCTGGGAGAGATGACACTTGTAACAAAACAAGGCACCGAACCCCCAACTGCTCCCCGGGCGCCGCAGCAAAAAATGGCTGCCCACTGCTCCGGGTGTGTGTTCACGGTGTGTGTGTGTTCACTGCTGTGTGTGTGCACTTTGGATGGGTAAATGCAGAGCACTAATTCCGAGTATGGGTCACCATACTTGGCCACATGTCACTTCACTTTAAAAAAAAGAAAAAAAACGGCCACGTTACAAAACACTTTATCACGGTGTGGAGTTTTGCACCCATAAACATTCAGACAAAATAAAAAGCTGATTTTACATGCAATTTCGTTTATGCACTAAGGTGAGAATGCAAAACAAAATGAGCAAGAAATGCAATGCAAATAAATAACATGTCATGTTCTCTTTCAATCACATTTGTCAAATAAATGTATTTTTCTCCATCTAGAGGAATCCACTACCACTCCTCGAACAGTTGCCCCTTGGTATGAGGAATACGATTATTCTGACTGTACGTCTGCACCATTTCAATCTTTTATATTAAATCGGCTTTATCAAACAGCTTGAATCTGTCATTTTGGATGCTTAGTATATTTTTATCCTAATTTGCTTTTTTCTGAAAATTTAGTGGCGGCAAAGAAGCTGGAGGAAGAGCTGGAAAAAGCAAGAAAGGCCAAAGAGGAGAAGGGTGTGTAAATCAATGTAATGTTTGTTCAAATGAAAGAGAATGTGCTTTTATTGCATGCGTGCTGTAGGCAGTGGCCAGCTTTTGGGTGGTCTGCAGTAAACGAGATGTAGTGAAAAATGCCTTTTGATTTATTACATAGAAAGCATTTAGCTGTTCGGTTAGTGTTTTTGTAAAAGATTTACTATGACCAAAAAAAGAAAAATCAGCAATGCATGACTATGAACATGTAAAAATGTAAATAATGCAAAACAGTTTGTTTGTTTGTAGTTTGGGTGAAATCCCAAATATGTTCATAATTCACCCAATTATATGATAATTATAAGCAGGATATATTCATAAAAAAATGGAAAAGTATTTTTTTTATGCATATTTACCTCTCTTTATCTTCAGTGGGGGTTTTTTGCACTGGAAAACTTGACCAAACTCAAGTTTGTTTGTTTATTTTTTCTAACCATATTTAGCTCTATAAAGCAACCGTGCTAGAATTTATTTAATTTAATTGATTTATAATAAGGCTTTGGCAGTTACTTGACAGATATTTCTTGTTTTTTACAGGAAAATTAGACACAAATACATGTTTTTTTTAGCACACTTAGAGTTGTGCTGGCATTTATTGAATAGATTTATTACGAAACAAGGCTAAAAACAACTGAAAATGACCTGTTTCAACTATTTCATTCCCTTACACAGCGGAAAAACTACAGAAGATGTGGGAAGAGGAGGAGGAGGAGAAGAGAAAGCAGACGGTTCCTCGTGCCGAGCCAAAGAGTGAGTATTTCTGGAAAACAGCCACAAATCACATTATAATCAGAGCAGAAACACACGGTCTCTTAGAGAACTGGGTATTTGTGAGCGCACAGTTGGTATTCTGTGAGTCCAGTGAACAAACTCTGAGCCTAAGGCAGTAAATGTCAGCGCCGACATGTTCTTCCCCCACAAAGGTTTAGGTTTCCAGCTGGAGTTCGGCTTTTTGGACTGGAACTGCTGCTGGCTCCAGCTTCAGTCTTTGTTGAGCACAAATGGTTTTCCTCTGTAAAAAATGAAAGACAGTCAGTGTCTAAAATACAACCACTCAGAGAGAGCTGTCAGTGCTCTTATCCCAGGATTTAAGAGGCTTTAAGAAAGAATGACACAGTATTTCCTGTCTTTTAGAGTGTCCTCCTCTTGGCATGGAGTCTCATCGAGTGGAGGACGATCAGATACTGGCATCTTCTATGTCTCATCATGGATATTCGGCTCTGAGAGGACGTCTGAACATGCAGGTACATAAACAATCAGACCACATTAAAGTTTCATAATAATTCAGATGTTGCATATTGATAATAGCTGTGCCAAAAAGTAAATAAATAATTTAATTTATCGTTTGTTTATGATTTAACGCCATGCGAGCTACCGCAGCTATAATTATGGCGAGATCGAGGTTAGTTAAGTTAAATTAAGTTTTAAAATTTGATCTTAGATAAAAATTCTAAAACTAAATCTGGCCCTACTTCATTAAAAATCGATCCATAAAAGTCAACAGAAAAATAAAGAGTTCTGACAGACTTTAAACTATTACAATCCATCAAAATATGCTTCAAATGTAATGGATTGTGGCACAAAGAACATAAAGGAGGATCTTCACCCGCCAACAGAAAACTGTGTTAGTCTGGAATGTCCTATTCGACACCGAGTGTAGACAATAAGGGCACAACATTTTACACCAACTACAGGATTTATTTTGTATAGTTTGTTTGTTGTACATTTATAATTTAATTTATTAATTAAAAAAAGAATAAAAGAGCAACTATGCTTAAAAATACTCCAATGCTTTATTACTTATTATGATATTTGTTCACCTTGTTCTAGTAGGTACAACGATCTGAACTAGAATTAAAATTAAGATACATTTATCTGAGGGAAAATTATTTATCAAAGCGAAATAATAAACAGGATTATTTAATAATTCAATCACAACAGATTATTTCCAAATTGACTATAGTGCTTCTGAGAGCAGCTAAGTAAGACATTGAGCTGTGCTGCTCATATGAGCAACGCTAGCTCAAGTCTGGCTTGCGTCATTTTCTGATCTCCCCTCCTCATAACTTGAGGGAATATCTGTATATGAATGCATGAAAAAAAAAAAGATTTTGAAGTAGGGCTGTGCAAAAAATCGAATGCGATTTTCACGCGCATCTCGTCAGTAAAGCCGCTTCTATGATTAGTAGTAAATCTCTAGCACGTGCTTTCAGATGGAGCGGCATTTACTACACAGAGCCGTAGTTCACTGACAAGCTATGCAAAATCGCAGGCGATTCATTGCCGATTATGAACGTGGTTTCCATCTGAAAGCACGTGCTGGAGATTTACTACTAATCACAGAAGCGGCTTTGCTGACGAGATGCGCGTGAAAATCGCATTTGATTTTTTTGCACAGCCCTATTTTGACGTGATCACCTGTTTCCAGAGTTCAGCTGATGAGGACGATGTTTACGGCGGTGCGTGGTGTGCTGATACGGAGGAAAAGGAGCACTGGTTTCAGGTGAACGCCCGTCGAGAGGTGGAGTTCACCGGCATCATCACGCAGGGCAGGAGCTCAGATACACAGTAAGACATCACTTAAAACATTTGGAATCTTTCTGATCGCAAGAAAGAAAATGAGACGCCTAAACTGGCAAATCATTCTCTCTTCTAGTGATGACTTCGTGTCATCGTATTTTGTGGCCTTCAGTAACGACAGTCGTGATTGGACGGTGCTTCATGATGGTTACGCTGAGTGGGTCAGTTCACATATACTTTGTTAAAACAGCATAAATCTACAGCGGTGGCCAAAATGATTAGAACACTAGTATTTCCAGCAGCTAGAAATGGTTTTAAGTCAGTTATTTCTATCTTTTGCTGTAGTGTGTCAGTAGGAAATATCAGTTTACATTTCCAAACATTCATTTAGCCATTAATTGTAATAATCCAGTGAGGTTTTTGTCTGACAGCCAGTGCTGCACACAGAGATCTGATCTGATCATCATCAGTCTGTCTGGACTGACGTGAAGAAACAGAACAAACTGAGACTAAATCCAGAAGAACCGTGCCAACGTCTCCAAGACGCTTCAAGAAATCTGTTAAAACTTTTAGGCACTTGTTGCCGTAAAATGAGGATGCTGTCAAAAATAATGTCATAAATAGATTTTCTTAATCAATTCACTTCTATTAACTAAATTAAATCAACATTTGGTGTGAGCATCCTTTGCAGTTAAAGCAGCTTTTGCTCAAGGAGCACTTGAGCAGAGTTTTTCAGGAAGCTTTGCAGGTAGGTTTCTTGAAGCATCTTGGAGACGTTTTTTCACAGTTCTTCTGGATTGAGTCTGTCTCAGTTTGTTCTGTTTCTTCATGTCACTCCAGACAGACTGATGATGATCAGATCAGATCTCTGTGTGCAGCACTGGCTGTCAGACAAAAATCTCACTGCATTATTACAATTAATGGCTAACTGAATGTTTGGAAATGTAAACTGATATTTCCTACTGACACACTACAGCAAAAGATAGAAATAACTGACTTAAAACCATTTTTTTAGCTGGAGAAAATACTAGTGTTCTAATAATTTTGGCCACCACTGTCAATTATAATCAAGCATCATGCATACATAAAACATTTTGAGATTTTTACTAGTTTTAATACTTGTTTTTGGTCAAATCCTGTTGTTGTTTTTATTTTATTCTACAGCTCTTTTATGGGAATGTGGATAAAGACACTCCAGTAATGACAGAGTTCTCTTATCCAGTTGTAGCGCGTTACATCCGTATCCTCCCGCAGAGCTGGAACGGCAGCCTGTGTATGAGGCTGGAGGTGCTCGGCTGCCCATTACCCAGTAAGCACTGCGGCTCTCACAAGTCATAATTATGCGAAATTACATACTAATTCATAAGCATGACATAAAAAGTAAGTTATGACATACTAAGTCATGAGACAAGAAGTTGAAATTGACATACTATGTCAAAATTATGACAGTCAAAATGATCAGAAAAAAATTGACTTTTTATTTCTTTTAATCTCATAATTTTGATTCATCATGATTTAGACTTTATTTTGACATTTTATTACAAAATTATGTAATTTTAGGTCATAATTTTGACTTTTTAATGCCAGAATTTTTGTTTTCTTTCATAATTACGACATTTTAATGTCATGATTATGATGTACCAGCGCATTAGTTTTTCTTATGGGTCTCCATATCTAAGTCATATTTTAAAAAATGAAAATATTGGTCATTTTTAAACACATTTGTAATCATATTTTTGTCACATAAGTCTAATAGCTCAAATGATTCTCTCTTCCCAGCTAATTATCCAACCGAGAACGATGTTCCACCGACGGATGATCTCGATTACAGGCATCACAACTACAAAGAGATGAGACAGGTGAGACGTTTACAGCCACACAGGTATTCTCAAGGTCACTGGGGTCAACGCTGAGGTTCAGCAGCACGTCAAAACACGTCCAGCGTGAAGGTTGAACTCTATTTTGTGACTCTTTTGTGGTCTTGTTGAAAAGCTGCCGTCCTACGAGAGTTTTCATGTGTATATGTGTGTATAAACAGATGATGAAGGTGATCAACGAAGAATGTCCCAACATCACCAGAATATACAACATCGGAAAAAGCTCTCAAGGGCTGAAGATGTACGCAATGGAGATCTCAGACAACCCTGGAGAACATGAGACAGGTAGTTTCCAAGAGGGCTAGATCAATCAACCAGACCAAAAACTGCGACTTTAAAGAAAATGAGTCTTCTTAAAAAATTCTAAATCAGTCTAGAATGGGGGCAAAAATGCTTCTATTTTACATTTTTCTAATTTAAGAATACATTAATACATTCATTACACACATATTTAGCTTAACAATTAAAGTTAAAAGTTCCCATATTTTCAATGTGGTCTCAACACTTTTGCACCTCAGTGTGTACAAATACAGTATTGTATTAGGCCAGTTGTTTTGAAAATGTTAGTTTGCTAAGTTTTATATCAATTTAAACTAATCAGTCAACCCTTGTTTTTATAAGGTGAGCCGGAATTCCGTTACACAGCAGGGCTTCATGGGAACGAAGTTCTGGGCAGGGAACTTTTGCTGCTCTTGATGCAGTTCCTCTGTAAGGAATACAATGATGACAATCCACGAGTGCGCCGCCTTGTGGGGAGCATACGCATCCATCTAGTGCCCTCACTGAACCCTGATGCCTATGAGCTGGCCTATGAGATGGTGAGACACACTTTTCAAACAAACATTCCCTGTTCTCCGCCCATGACATTTCTGTTTATCATGTGAGTCATTGTTTATTTGGGCGGATGCTCGTTTGTCTAGGGCTCTGAGATGGGGAACTGGGCTTTGGGCCACTGGACAGAGGAGGGATACGATATTTTCCAGAACTTCCCAGACCTGAACAGTATTCTGTGGGGTGCGGAGGACAGGGGATGGGTGCCACGGGTCGTTCCCAATCACCACGTTCCCATTCCTGAGAATTTTCTTAATGGCTCTGTGAGTAAAATGTTTTAAGGAGTTATGTTTTATGGAGCCGATAAAGGGACATGTTGATGGTGAAGAAAAGTAATAATAAGATGGGAGGAAAAATATGCATTCTCTCGCAAAAATGAACACAGATTTTCCCAGAGGAACACAAATGTTTTGGAGGCAAAATCAGAGTTTTTGTAAGTGGATGCAAAGTTTTTGGGTAAACGCAATGGTTTTTTGAGAGAACACAAAAATTTTGCAAGTGAAAGCAGATGTTTTGCGAATGAACGCAAAGTTTCTTTGGGAACGCAATAGTTTTGGCGAGAGAACGCAAATGTTTTTGAGGCAAATGAAGATGTTTTGCAAGAGAATGCAAAGTTTTCGGGGGAATGCAAAAGTTTTGCGAGAGAACGTAAATGTTTTTGAGGCAAATGAAGATGTTTTGCAAGAGAATGCAAAGTTTTCGGGGGAATGCAAAAGTTTTGCGAGAGAACGTAAATGTTTTTGAGGCAAATGAAGATGTT